GTGTAATATTCCAGTGTATGGATGGACCACATTGTGTGTATCCATTCACTCACTGATGGCCATTTGGGATGTCCAGTAGCTGTTTCATCCTCTCCATGCTCCTATGCGTTAAGCACCACAGCACCCACAGTGGCTCCCTTTTTAAATAGACACTAAGTAACTATTTGCTGAATAAAAGGAACGAATGAATGAGCTTTCTGCCCTAGCACATACCACCACCTGGCAACCTGTACCCTTGACTTCTGTTCATTGTCTGTCTCCTCCATCTCCCAGGACACAAGCCACATGAGGACAGGCATTTTTGTCTGCTCTGATCACCACCGTCCCCAGAGCCTGGCTCAATCAATTCCTATTGAACAAAGAGTGAAATGAAAGGGTGACTGTCCCTTTGAATCAGACCCCTCCGTCAGCCCCAGGAGGCCAGCAGGCTGCAGATCACTGATGCCTGTTTTTCCAAAGGAGAAAAGAGGTACCGAGGGACCCATCGAGTCTGGGCCCCGGATGTGTCATGGGCATGATTACCAGTTTTGTGCATAGTTATTCAATTAATGGTGCCTGCCCTGCTTGAGGGCAGGGACCCTGGCCTCCTCCCTTTCTGTGGGGCCTGGAATACCAGAGGTGCCCCGTAATTAATTGCTTTGGCTGTGAATGTCGATCAGGAGCAAGGCAGAAGAAGAAGGTGTGGTTTAGAGCTCATGGGACCTACCAGGGGCTCAGAGAGGGGCAGACCTCTTGCCTGGGTCACACAGCATTCAAGGAAGAGAGGGGCTGGAATGACCACGTTGCAGAGAGCCACTGTGGGGAAGGCTCAGTCAGAAGAAGAGGTGGGGAGGCTGTAGGAGGTGTGGGCACTGCAGCCTACCCCACCTACACACCCTCTCTCTGCTGATCTCCCCCTGTCTCCTGGATAGCCGCCCCTACATGCCTTTGCCTCTGCAGTTCCTCACACCAGGTATGCAATCCCTTTGTTCAGTATCCAAGCATCTGAGAAGGAGGTTTCTGGAAAGACTGAGATGTGGAGCTTCTGAAGCTTCAGGATCCCAGGGAAAAAAAATTCAGCAGCGTGGCTGCCTCTGGGAGCCCAGGGGGGCCTTGAAACTTCTTCCCACACCCCTTGAAACTCTCCTAGGTTATCAGCAGCCCAGAAGGAGGCCACACCTAGAGGCTACTGGGCCAAAGCGAGCAGGTGCAAATAGAAGCAGCCCACACCTTGACTTCTCCCCCGGCCCCTCCTGACCCCGTGTCACCCACACTCTGACTTCTGTTCCTGTTGGATAGTCTTTCCTGGCTTTCCCTGGTCTGTCTGCAAAATGCAACCACCCTCCCCCACATCATTGACTCTCCCATGTTCAAAAGTCACCCACGGCGCCCTCACAACGGCGCACACACTCCTCCGCCTGGCATTCATGACTGGGCCCCTGGAAACCTCGCCAGCCCTTTCTCTCGCTCCCTGGCCTCTAGCTTCAAGCCACTGGATATTCTCTTTCACTTCAAGATCTTTGCATATACTGTTCCCTTTGCCCCGCATGCCTCAGAAAACATTTACTCATTCTTTAAGCATGGAGGTTCCCTCCCGATTCAGCAAGCGGAAGCCTCATGTCCCATCCCCGTGGCTCCCCACCACTCGCTTCTGGCCCCTTTTCGCTCCCTCGACCACAAAATAACTGTGGGGCTGGGGGAATCTATTTCTAATTCTGAACCCCCCTCCACAGCCTGGGGACAGTGAGCCTTTCTGGGATCCCAGGATCACCCAGCACTGGGTTGGTTTACAGCATTTTTGTTGAATGAATGAGTTACTCCATCAGTGAATGATGGATACATTTCAAGCACTCCAATCCAGCATTCAAAACTTGCTTCTCTCTTCCCATATTCTAGCCACAGAAACATACTTTCCCCCTTCCCAAACTCTCCAGCCTCTCTTTTACTTCTAGGACTTAATATATCCTTTTCCTCTCTTCTGCTCCTTTTCTCTGACTCCTACCCCACTTAGTGAGCTCCTATTCATCTCTCAAAACCCAACTCCTAGGTGTCCTCTTCTATGAAGCCACTTAACCTGGGCTCAGTTCTCTAGTGCTTCCTTCTTTTACACCCTGACCATACCAGGCTGGGCTCTGCCTCCTCCCACCCCAGACTCCTTAAGAGCAGAGCAGTGAGAAATCAAAAAATTCTTCAGAGAGCAGTGTTTTCCAACTATGAGTTATAACCCCTAAGTAGATCATGATGAAATCCGTGTCAACACATTTCTAAAAATTTTCTGCTACATGTTTCATCTTTCATTTATATATCTGGATCAAAAACATGCTCTTACATAGCTGCGTAGTATTTCTCCAGAATGTATTCAGCCCTGTCCACATTAGTGAAAATGTTACAGCTTCCTTTTTATTTTTCCATTTGTTTATTACAACTGCAAATGACTCAGAGATGACTTTAACTTTGTATATAAATCTTGCCATCTGTTGGAATTATCTCTTTGGTGAATGTTCCCAGAGGTACGATGATGGAGACAAGTGACGGGGGGTTATTTATAAATCCATGTCTCCACACAGATGGTCAAATGGCCCCCGGGAAGCTGCGAAATGTGAGTATGCCCACATTCGCTGCAAAATAAACTCATTTTTAATTCCTGATTGGAGAGGCCATAAAGAAAAAATCTTATTGTTTTCTATTTGACTGGTTATTATTTTTTATATATATGACTATCTCAGAGACAGGCAAACTACGACCCCTGCACCAAGTCCAGCCCACTGTCTTGTTTTGTGTGGCCCACGAGCTAAGAATGATGTTAACATTTTTAAAAGGTTGAAAAAATTAAAAGAAGAAGAATATCTTGTGACACGCGAAAGTCACGTGAAACTCACATTTTGGCGTCCACAAATAAAGTTTTATTGGCAGAGGGCCACGTTCATTTGTTTACATCTCATCTGTGGCTGCCTCCCAGCCACCATGGCAGAGTCTAGTCGTTCAACAGAGACCATATGGCCCCTAAAGCCAAAAATTTTGACTATCTGGTTATAGTAAAAGTCTGCCAACTCCTGAAATATATGATTTATTAGCTATGGTGACGGGTTTGGAATACTCAGAAGCGTGTTGGAGAAACCCTTTATAACACAACTTGAATTTGATTCCTCACACCTTGACCTGTTGGTCAGAGCCTTTTTGATAGAACAGAAGAGAAAATACCTGAGTGTGTACCCACTAGGGAATGGTAAGTATTGTTTTGTGAAACTTTTGTTGCTGTTAGATCAGCATCTGGAAACACAGGCACTGGGAGATGATGGTGTAGAAATCTACTAATGTGGGTCACGACCAGAAAAAGGTTGAGACCTGCGGCCTTGGGGAGTATCTGTGGGTTGTTCGATTAACTGCATTTGGAAACAGGCTGAAGGAGATGGAATGGAGGAGAATTTTGCATTTGGCTAGACCCGGACGCAGCCCACACCAGAGTCCTCCCTCAGTGCCTTCTGTGGAGTGGGCTGAACGGAGAACTACCAGGGACTACCAGGGAATGCAGAGAAGAAGGTTCTAGAACCCCGAATCCTCTTCTCAGCCTCCAGGGATCAGCACATTCAGCCCCCTCCCATTTTTCAGGTGAGAATAGTGAGGACCAGAAAGGGTCAGTATCTCCAGCCGGGAGTAGCAGGAACTGGGGTGACCACAGGGAACCCTTGAATCTCAAACTCCTGCCTCCCAACTCGGGGAAACTGTGAGGTCAAAGGAGATAGGATCAGGGCAACCCAGGCCTCCTGGGACCCAACTCCCCCCACCCCCAAAAACCTCTCCTGGACCTGCCAAGTTCAAATCCTGGCTCTAAGCGCCAGGGTGACCCCGGCCCTATCCTCACCTGGGAAATGGGATTTATTCTGTATATATATATCACGGGGTAACTATATATAAAACGGGATAACTCTATATAATATATGTTGTGACTGCCTCCCAATGTCACTGTAAAGATTTTAATGAGATTTTTCACGCAAAATGTTTAGGACAATGCCTGGTACACTGTAAGTGCTCAATAGAGGTGTGATGGGGCCGGCCCGGTGGTGCAGTGGTTAGGTTCGTGTGCTCCGCTTCAGCGGCCCCAGGTTTGCGGGTTTGCATCCAGGGTGCAGACATACACACCGCTCATCAAGCCATGCTGTGGCGGCGACCCACATACAAAATAGAGCAAGACGGCCACAGGTGTTAGCTGAGGGCCACTCTTCCTCAGCAAAAATAAATAAATAAATAAATAAATAAAATAGCCTTTAAAAAATAATAAATAAATAGAGGTGTGATGGCATAGCCCACCATTTTTGAGCATGTACTGTACACAGGGCACAGAGGGAAGTTTGTTGCCTGCGTGACCCACCATCCTGGGAACTCCCCCCTGCCTTATTCATCGGTGTCCCCAGACCCCGCAGAAGGATGGCACAGCTATGTGCACCTTTCAAGCTTTGGTTAGATGCCATTGTCACTCAGGCATCCAAGATTTTAGAGCCCTTCCAGTGTGGCCTCCCTGTCAGGGGGAAGGATGACCGACCATCCTGGTCTGGCCGGAACTGAGGGGTGTCCCGGGACGTGGGACTTCCAATGCTGAAACCAGGATGGTCCCCAGCAAACTGGGCTGAATTGGTCAATCTGGGCTGGGGGTAGAGCTGAGAACAAAGTCAACACAGTCACCTCCTCCAGGAAGCCCTTCCTGATCCACCCTCTCCCCAACCTGCTAGGGGGCCTCCTCCGGGTCTCCGCAGCTGCCGGTGCACCCCCCATCACCCTGGGGTCACATCTGTGTCCTCCGGCTCTTTTCCTGGTCACCACTGCGTTTCCAAAACCAACTACACAGCTCAGTGCCAGATAAAGACAAATGAATGAATGAAAAGCCAGCGCTCTTTGCCTAACAGATGAGCAAGCGGAGGCTCAGAGAGGCAAACCGCTCAAGCAGGATTCCCAGCGAGGCCGCGGAGGAGCTGGGGTTTGAACCTGGGTCTGCTGGGACCCCGTGCCAGCCCCGCCCTCCTCACCGTGTTGTAGAACTCGGCCACCAGCTCCGAGTGCTGGAAGTTGCTCTCGCACCAGTCCACCTCAGAGCTCTGGTAGGCGAAGATGCTGGGCATCCTGACACAGCGCCTGCCACCCGCTGGCTGCGTCTGGCAGAGAGGAGCATGCCAGCCTAGGAGGGCCAGGCCCGGGTGAGGCGGGGAGATGACAGCTCGGTGCCCCACGGCGCGCTGAGAGGAAAAACCTGCTGGGCCGCTCCCCGGATGCTGTGCGGTGGCGGCCGCCCTGGGCAGGAGCCGAGGGGCTGGCACGGTCCAGGCAGGGCGAGGTGCGTGGGGAGGGGGCCTCCCATCCCCACCCACCGGGAGTGGGAGTTACTGGGAATTGCGTTTAGAACAGCAATTTAAAATAATAATAATACCGAGCCCACTGAGATGAGTACTCTTGCTAGGCCCACTTTACAGATGAGCAAACTGAGGCAGAGAGCAAACTTATTTGCAGACGGCGTGCAAGGTGGTAACCCAAGATGTGAAAACAGGCAGGCTGAGTCCAGACTCCAGGCTCTTCACCATGAAGTTTTAGTACCTGCACACCATTGAAGCTCCATCTTGCTGCTTCTTATATCTAGGGCCACAACTACCCCCAACCCAATGGGCTCGGCTCTCTTGGAGTCCTTGGCTATGCAACCTTGCCCAATCATTCCTCTTTTGGGGGCCTCAGTCTTCCTGTCTGTGTTATGGGAGGTTGGGCTGAATTGAAGTCATTTCTCTTGGGAGACCAAGACCTCGTAAGCCTATTCTGTCCCAACTTCCACCAGGTGCCACCTTCAAAGCCCCCAAGAGGAGCATAATCTGCAGAGTTCCAGGTCTAGGATCTCCATTCCTGGCTTCCATGATCTGTGGAAAGCTCTGGTTTTAGCATCAGACAGGCCTGAGTTTGAATTCCAAGTTGCTCCTCTTCCTAAGCTGTGTGACCTTGGGCAAATGAATCCACCTCTCTGAGCCTCAGTTGCTCATCCATAACATAGGGAGGATGGTGATAGACCCAACTATTACAAAGGCATGCAGAGACGGAAGAGGTTAAGGGCTTAACTCACTGCCTGGCTCAGAGCAGGCCCGCGATAAATGGTAATGGGTTTTCTTATTGCAGATGAACTTGGACTTTAAAGGAAATGTTATGGGCATCGTAATAATAATGGCACACTTTTACCAACTACTTACCAGTGCCAGGCTCTTTTCTAAGTGCTCAGCATTCAGTATTATCTCGTTTAATGTTCCTAACATTGGGAAGAGAGGGGGACTATTGTCATCTCCATGTCACTAGCAGGAAACTGAAGCCCAGAGAAGTCAAGCAATTTCCCCAAGGTCACACAGCTCGAAAATGAGAATGGGCAAGCTGCTTCATGTTTCTGAGCCTGCTGCCTCAACTGTAAGATGGGAATAATAACAGTACCTCCTTCTTAGGCTGCAGTGAGGGTTTAATGAGCCTCCTTTCCCTAGGAATATAATTTTTGTTGTTGAGTGGTCCTCCATTCAGAATCACTGAATTGTGTGGCCAGCCATCCCCTACCTTTTCAATTCTCAATAGTCTGAGGAGAGGGGCTCACCTGGTGCTAATATATGTTTATGCCTCTTAACGCTTAATCCCTTTGTTTAATAAAAAGCCCTTCAGCAGGCAACAGTATCAACCTAGAATGTAGCGACATTATTTACATTGTATTTATTTTTAAGGAAGCTTGATTTCTGGTTGGTCAAATCCATTTTCCATTCATGGCAGTGTTACAAAGTTTCTTTTTTAAAGCAAATTGATTTCAACTTTATAATTCTGGAGGTGGGTCCACCAATCTAGACGTATGAAGGAATTGAATAGAGACACGTACGCACACACACAGGAACACTTGTAAACGCTGTTGAGATCTAAGGTCTGTAGATTGTATCAATGCAAATTTCTTGATTTTGAAATCATATGATTATATAAGCTGTACCATTGGAGAAAACTGAGTGAAGAGTACAAAAGACCTCTCTGTACAATTTTTGCAACTTCTTGTGAGTGTATAATTATTACAAAATAAAGAGGTGGGTTTTTTTTTCTTTTAAGTAATTGATTTAGATTTTTAATCAGCAGATGAATGGATCAACAAAATATGGTCCATTCATACAAGGGAATATGTTTCAGCCTTAAAGAGGAAGGAGATTCTGACATCCGCTCCAACGTGGATGGACCTTGAGGACATGACGCTCAGTGACATGAGCCAGACACAGAAGCACAGACACTGTGTGGTCCCCTCACAGGAGGCCCCTAGAGGAGTCACATCCACAGAGACAGAAAGTAGACGGTGGTGCCAGGGGCTTGGGGGAGGGGGATGGAGACTCAGTGTTTCATGGGGACAGAGTTTCAGTTTGGGAAGATGGAAAGTTCTGGAGACGGATGGTGGGGATGGTTGCACAACCATGTGAATGTGTTTCATGCCACTGAACGGTGCACTTAAAAATGGTTAAAATGGTCCATTTCATGTTACGTAAATTTTAGCCACAATTTTAGAAAGTAAATGATTTAGATTTTAAAAGAGGGTCTTACTTGACAAAATATCTTAAGTAAATAAGAGTTCAGGTTGGAGGCAGATATAGGAAAATCCTGAGAGTGGTCTGTTGAGGTCAAAAATTTGGTAACTGGGGCCGGCCTGGTGTGCAGCGGTTAAGCTCACGCTCTCCACTCTGGTCGCCGGGGTTTGAGGGTTCAGATCTCAGGCACAGACGTACACCGCTCATCAAGCCATGCTGTGGCAGCGACCCATATATAAAATAGAGGAAGATTGGCACAGGTGTTAGCTCAGGGCCAATCTTCCTCACCAAAAAAATAATAATAATAAAATTGGTAACTATTGAGGGTGCACATGCTGAGGGCTCAGCCCGGAGCTGGCGCTGCATGAAAGAGGCGAATGTTTATTATTGTTATTAGTCATCTACAAGGCATCAAATGCTGTCACTCTGCCAGGTGCCCACAGAGCTGCCTTCGAGATCCTCTGGAGAGACGGGAAAGATGTCAGGTTTGGAGATGAGAGGGGAAGTTCCCAGAGCCTGGATTAAAATCTCTAGCTGACTCTCCGTTTCGCAGGGCAGCAACAACCCCACCATTTAGCCACAGCCCTGGCCCCCAAATCCCCTCCCCTTGTGGGCCAAAAGCTCGAACATACCCCACCCTCACCCCCAGTTTCTCTCAGTCCAGCTAAAAGCAGGGAGCCTGACTCTCTCATGGAGGGACCACCCAGGGGGGGAGGAGATGGCCTCTGAGGGCCCTCCCTGCTTGAATCTGGGGCAAAGCACGATCTCCTGGATCTTGGTGAAGGATTTAGCTTCTGGAAACAAGCAGGTGACAGATGCCACACCCAGCCCAGCCTGGGGAGTTTGGGACAGCACCCTGCACAGACCTGACTAGGGAAACAGGACAGCCAGACAGGTGTGTGGGTGCTAAGGCAGCAGTCTCCCTCTACCAGGGGAACAGAAGGAGGCTAGAGAGCTGGTGGAAAGGGCCAGAGCCCGGGAGGAGGGGTATATGTGTCTCCACGGCTGCTGCAACACGTTAACACAAATAGTGGCTTAAAACAACACGTATTTATCATCTTACATTCTGGAGATAAGGGATTTGAAATGAGTCTTACGGAGCAAAAGTAAGGTCTCCAGAGCTGGTTTCTTCTGGAGGCTCCAGGGGAGAGTCCATTTCCTTGCTTCTTCCGCTTTCCAGAGGTTGCTTGCACCCTTGGCTTGGGGCCCTGCCTCCATCTTCAAAGCGCATCACTCCCCCTTCTGATTCCATCATCCTGCCTCCTTTTGTCTGATTTTGATCCTCTTACAAAGACCACTGCGATGATGTTGGGTCCACCCGGACAATGTAGGATAATCTTCTCTCAAGGTCTTTAAGTCAATCACATGTGCTAAGTCTCTTTGCACATGCACGGAAGGTGACATATTCCCAGGTTTCAGTAATGAGGACGTGGACACTTTGTGGGAAACACTAACCTACCTGCCACGGGGTTAAGGAGGAGAGCCTGAGGATAGCGCGATTGGGGGCTGGGAATGGGATGAAATAAATTGGGGCTGGGATGGACATGATGAGGATGGATATGGGGTTGTGAATGGAGATGGGGATAAGGATGGGGCTGAAGCTGGAGACAGAGTTGGAATTGGGAATGAGGTTAGGGATGGGATTGAAGATGGGGATGATGGCAGGATTGGAAATGGAGGAGTTGGGAATATAAGTGGGAATGGGGATAGGGTCAGAGTTGGGGATGAATTTGAGGAAGGGTTGGGATGGGTTTGGGGATGGGGATGGGATCATTGCTGGGGATGGGATGGTGACCTCATCCCATTGGAAGTGAAGCTGAGGATGGGAGTTCTGTCCATGACGGACGTTGGCATCCCACCCTGAGTCAGTACCCAGAGGGAGCTCTGATGGGTCTTGAAAGGGTAGGAGGTAGACTCCAATGGGGTGGCGAGGAGGCCGCCAATGTGCCATGGCTTTTCCCATCTCCACTCACCCAGGCAAAAGTCTGGTGTACTTTCCTTGTTTCTGGGGCTCCTTCCTACTCTTCCTTCTCTCTCTCCCCAACTCCATCCTCAGGTTTAAACCTGGAGTCCATCCTTGGTTTCCATCAGATGTTGGTGACCACCTGATCCAGGGTAACATTCGTGAAGACCATGAGGCATCCCATTCCCGCCGTGATGCTCGGTTTCAGGGCTGTTGGCAACCTCTCCCACCTCCATTCTCTCCTCTCATCCTCACCATGAGCATCAATGGGAAAGAGATTAATTTTTGTCTTTATCTGTGTTTTCATAACCATCAAATAACCTGTGTGCATCATAGAAAACACAAGTCAAGAAAAAGAAAATTAAACTCACGTATAATCTTACAGTCCAGAGATAACTGCTATTAATATTGAGATATTTTAAGTTTTTAAAAAATCATTGGTATTATTCTTTTGCAAAGATTTGGACGTTGTTGTATGTTTGTTACCTATTTTTTTCACTTAAAATGTCATTAACATCCTTCCCTGTTTTGAAGTATTCCTGACCATAATTTCTTTAATTTTATTTTTACTTTTAACTATGGTAAAATACTCATAACATAGATCTTACCGTCCTTACCATTTTTAAGTGTACCATTTCACATTGTTTGCCACCATCCCCACCATCCATCTCCAGGACTTTCCATCT